ATCAGTATTGCTGCACTGTACAGGTCCATCAGGCACGGCACCAGCAGTTCTAGTTCTCTGTGTCCACTGTTTTTGCACAGTCTTACTTTCCCGTTGATGCTTGGTCTGACTCTTCAGCCTTGCCTTTGATGTTGAGGTTTCCAAAGTTGTCATCTATATCTGATTCACTTGTTTTCTTGGGTCTTTGTTATAAAAGGGATCTTATGAGGCATCTGACAATGCAGTCATCTTGGACTGCCTCCCCCTAATGTCTTTTTCTGCTCCGGGATACCACATTACATTTAGTTGTCATGTTTCCTGAGGCTCCTTTTAGCTGTGGCAGTTTCTCAGATATTCCTTTTTATTTTTTTTAATAACTGCTTTTTTTTTTTTTTTTTTTAAATCATTATAAGGTACATTTAGGTATTAAATAACAACTTTTCCTCTCAAGTCCTTCCTGCCTTTGCTCCCCATCTCTGCCCCAATGTCACCTGTTAGAAAGATAAAGTACTTGTGACCCTCGCAGCCACGCTACCAGAACTGTTATTTGAGATCCTTGGCATTTGAATATAAGACCTTTTGCAACCTAAAAAATAGTCATTCTCTTCTTACAACAAGACTTTTTCAAATGTGGCCTCAGAAGCCCTATTAGACTTTCTGTTCTGTTTACATTTTCCTTCATTCATCCAAGATATAGTTACTGAACAACTATATATCTGCACTATGATCTGTGCTAGGGATACTGCAGTGAACCAAAGAGGTCGGGGATCCTTGCTTCCTAGGAGCTTGTATTCCAGTGGAAGTGACAGGTAAAACTCAAGCTAACAGAAAGATAAAATGATTATGTCCTGTGATAAGAGTTACAAAGGAAAACAATGGAGCTAGGAAATAACAAGCAGATGGATCCACCCTAAATAAGGCAGTCTGGGGGAGCTCATGTCTGAACTAGGGAAAGGTGTGGAGCAAGGGATGAGGGGCTAGAGAAGGAGAGGACACCAGACATAGAAAACTGCATGTGAAAAGGCCCTGAGGCAACAAAGAACTAGCTGGGCTTAGGAACTGATAAAAACTGGAGTAGAGAAGAACCTGAGGTGAAGTTGCATAAGGTGGCATGGGCAAATCAGGCTGGGCCTTATAGACCAAGGTAAGGAGTTTGAATTATATTCAAAGTGAAATGGAAAGACATTAAGGTTATTAAGCAGGGAAATTATGTGGTCAGATTTACATATTTAAGAAAACATCACTGCTTCTATGTGGACATCATTTGGAAGGGGCAGGAGTGACAATGGGGAGCCTGGTGAGGGGACTGCTGCAGATCCTGCTTAGCAAGATATGTGAATCTGAAGCTCAAGGTCAGGGTTGGAGAAACACATTTTGAGTTTATTGGCATACAGATTGTTTTCCGAGCCATAAGCATAGGTGATATAACCAATGGAGAGGGCTGTAACAATTTACACAACGTCAGCGGCACACATTTATTCTCTCAATGTTCTGGAGGTCAGAAGGCCAAAATCAGTTTCACTGGGCCAATAGCAAGGTAGTCAGCAGAGTCATGCTCCCTCTAGAAGCTCTAAGGAAGAATTCATTTCCTTGCCTCTTTCACCTTCTAGAACGTCATTCCTTGGCTTGTGGTCCCTTCTGCCATCTTTAAGCCAGCAGCATAGCATCTTTCTTCAGTCATCACATCACCTCTTCCTTCTGTAGTCAAGTCTCCCTCTGCTTCCCACTTATAAGGGCATTTGTGATCTTTGTATTTGGGTCCCAACTTGATAATCCAGGATAATATCCACATCTCAGGATCCTTAATCATATCTGCAAGATCTCTTTTGCTATCTAAGGTAACAATCACTGGTTCTTGGATAAGGACATGGGTACCTTTGAAGACCATTCATCAGCCTGCCTTGGGGCATGATAATATTTAGTGGTCAGACAGAGGAGAAAGAACAAGCAAAAAACACTGAGAAGGAATGGCAATTGAAGAAGGAAGGCTAACAGAGGGTCTTGTTGCAGAAGCCAAAAGACTAGAAGGTATCCCCTCTAGGAACAAGAAAGGAGGTATCAATCATTGCTGAGACACTAGTAAGACAAAGATGAAAAAAATGCCCGTGAAAATGACAAAAACAGATTGGGGTATCAGGGTAGGGCCTCAACATTGGAAACAACTGGAATGGGTTGAAGAATGCAATGTGGTGAGGTGGTACAGGCAGCAAGTAGGGACAACTCTTCTAAGTTTTTCTTTCAAGAGGAACAGAGAAACTGGGTTGAAAGGGGTTATGGAGTTAAGGGAGAGATTTTTGTTTGCTTTCCGTTTTTAATAGAGGGTATTGATGATGATCTCAGAGAACTATGCAAAAGGGAAAACTGCTGAGGGAATGAAATCCTTAATAAAGCAAGAAGGGATGGGGTCCTGAGCCAAGTGGAGAGACTGGCTGTTTTAGAAGCAGGGATACTTCTTCCATTGTAACAAAAGGAAAAGAAGCCTATGAAAGAAGGGAGGTTTGGTTTTCTCAAAAGAGTGAGTAGAGAACAAAAGAGTATGGTACATTTGAGAAGTCATAGTATTTGTGATGATATATTGTTTTGTTTCATTTCCTCGAATAAGTAAAACTGAGGTACTTGCTAAATATCTAAAAGATCATTATTTTAACAACCCCAACCTCTCTGGATTAGTGATAGATAATCTTAATAATCAGCCAATGAAAACTCTATGGATCACAATAGACTATTATCTAATATAGTGCTGGAATATGAGACTCCTAGGTTGGAAGACACTCAAAATACATGGTGGGTACAACAGTGGACTCAAACATTCTCAAGACGGTGCAAGACTGGGCAACATAGGGTTCTGCTGTACATCAGGTTGCCATGAGTTGCTGACTTGATGGCAACTAACTACCAACAACTCATTTGGAGTGAAAGAAATCATGAAAATAGTCATCTTATAATACGTGAAACTTTATTAAATAGAGAAATGGTGCAAACTACTTTGAGGTTTTGTTTTCATTAAAAAAATGAACTAAATGAACAGGAAAAAACCTTATAACTAAACAGTTCGTGGTCTTACTAAAGGTGGGTTATAGATAAGAGGAACCCTGATGTCACAGTGGTTAAGCGCTTGGCTGCTAACCAAAAGTTCAGTGATTCGAACCCCCCAGCCGCTCACAGGAGAAAGATGAGGCAGTCTGCTTCTATAAAGATTTACAGCCTTGGGAACCCTGTGGGGCAATTCTACCCTCCTTAGGGCCGGTATGAGTCAGAATTAACTCAATGGTAATGGGTTTAGTATAAATAAGGCATATATCATAATTATTAGTATGCCATTATACAGTCTACATGTATAAGAAAAGTGTCTAGCACATACTACAAAATCACATTGCTAATGGTTAGCAGGCTGGATTTCAAAACCCTTTGGGTTCCCAGTTTGATGACATTCAAGCAAACTATGAACGGAACTAATACCATGTGCATACTCTTTTGTGTAAGACGATAGCTTCTATCAAATTACCCTTTTCCCTACACCAAGATGAAGATGAGAAAGTGTGAAAGATCCCTCCACCAGAGTATTTAAGTCCTACTGGTTCACCTGGACATTCAAATGGCTCACTGCAAAGGCAGATGTACCCCCGTCAGTCATCTGCCATCACAGGGGATTTCTAGCCCTGAGGCTGGCAATAAGCAATGTGGCTTTTATCAATCTTACACCTAAGCTACAGGCGTGCTGTGTAGAGAATGGGAATTCCCTGGTAGAGGGTTCAGTCTGAATTGTTCAATATTTTATTTTTGCATTTGAGCCTTGAAAACTTTAATATTTAGCTTCAAAGATAAGTCCAAGGTTCAAAATGCTACCCAGGAACGTCTCTTTTGAGCCATCCTCCTCTTTATGCCTTTCCGTTTCATTTTTTCCCTCCAATAATGGACCATGTCTTTCATAAAGAAGCATGACATCAAGGATTTTGTGAGATCCTTTCTCTCAGTCAGCTGCTTCGATGAATCCCTCCCAGTGTTTCTCATATGATGAGGCTATTTTATTTCATAGGAGATGGAAATGTAGGAAGATTCGCCAAATTGAATGAAAATTCAGACGTAAGATTGAAGCCTGGACCTTCGTCCTGCAGTTTCCCCCTCCCTCAGGAGCTCCCACTAACGTTACAGAGAAGTCCCTGACTCCCAGTGGGAGAATTCAGCCTGCTAGTTCACAGATGCCAACACTTCCAGATTCTGAAATATAAATACAAATTCTCTAGTCAATTTTTGAAAATTCAGATATTGCTACAGAAACATATAAAAACATAGCATGAAGTGAGTTGTAGAAATTCAAGTATCACTGCAGATTTGCATAAAAACAGCAGCAATTTTTTTTAAGTGCTTAAAATTTTTTGAAAAATTCCCTTTGTATTTAAAAAAACAGCACACAGGCTATTGGTATAAAAGGGGGGAAAGGTGAGGAGATCTGGTTAAAGCCTCCAAAAATTCATTTAGTCAAATTCTGTCAGCAGACATTGACTTAGACATTTCCGTGGACTCTTTAGCTCTTTTCCAAGGAACAACTACAGAGAGCAGCTTAGGTGATGATGTTAAAAAAATCAAGCCCCTTCCAGTTGGGTGGCTGAGGCACTGGAACTCTTTCTTGAAGTTGTCCACCTGGAAACTTCGATGGTTAGCAAAGGAAACAATGTCTAATCTAAGGATTTTGAAACACGGGAAATAAAGGTATCTTTCAGTGGGTCCTCCATTTCAGTGAACTCATTCAGAGAACAGACCTAAGAGTTGGCCTTTCTGAGTCATGCCAATTCTCCTCTTTCTGTATTTTGTACCTGAGGGTTATTCACAGCCCATTTTCAGAAATAAATAAAAGCACAATTGCTTTGGATTATGTTCCAGAGGATCAGACGCCTGATCCCAGATACAGTGTCAACCGTCCTTGGTGAACGTTGTTGCCATGATCCAGTTTGCCTCTTGGCTGCCATCAGCTATCCTGCTGTGGAACCTCGCCCTTTCCTGTCTGAGGAAGACCAGACAATTCACAGAGCATCCATGGGGAGAGCACAGGACTGGACTGCCTGGTATGCCATCTGCTTCTTCACAGAACAGAGTCTGAGGGACAGGATCACTGTGGCTATCACGAGGATGAGTCCGATGATAAAAAGGATGACCAAAGCTACCTTGGCACCTCTGGGACCCAGGTTCTTGCCAAAGAAATACAGCTTCTCCTTACCAGGTTCTTCTGTGAAAAAGAAAAGTAAGTTTGGGGTGATGAAAAGATTTGGAAATGGATAGTGGTGATGGTTGCACAGTATGGTGAATATAATCGATGACATTAAATTGTACACTTAAAAGTGGGTAAAACAGCAAGTTTTGTTATATATATTTTACCACAATAAAATTTTAAAAAGGAAAGCAAGGTATCAGGCCTCTGCGTTTCCCTGAGGAATGACATATTTAGGCATTTGTGTTCAGCATGCAGAAAGGGTGTCATTACCGTCAGAGGCCACAGTGACTGGGTGAGATGCTTCTTCAGGAGACTTGGTAGCATAAGGAATCCTGTTGTCTGGACACAGAAGACAAGTTGATTGTTTAATAAATAGCAGAGTGCATTATTTTCATGATGTGAGTTGTTTTAGGAGTTATGCCAATTCACTAGTGAGGACTTTAACCAACCAAACCGAACGCACTGCCATCGAGTTGGATCCGACCCACAGTGACCCCTCCTTGTGTTTCTGAGGCAGTGTCACTATGGAAGTAGATTGCCCAACCTTCCTTCTGAGGAGTGGCTGGTGGGTTTGAACCACCAGCCTTCTGGTTAGCAGTCAAAGGCCTTAGGCACTATGCCACCAGACCTCCTAGTCCCACCATTATCTGCAAGCCTTTCTTGGATTCTCACTATTTTACTTCATTCCAGTCCAACACTATTGCTATTCCTACCCCATCCACCTTTCAAACTTCTCATCCATTATATTCAACTCAAGCATCATGGCTTCTGTGAAGCAGTGGCTCATCTGTCCAAACTGTTAGCCATTTCCTCCTTCTGCTGCCATTGAATTCTGTGCTCTGTACTCTAAAATGGCACATATCATTTTATTGTGGTTATATATTTACACATTTGCCTCTCTTACTTGACTCTGAGTTCTCTGGGAGCTGTGTATGGGTTTTTGTCATGCCTCCTGTTTTCAGGGTCTACTGGAAGCCTGGCACTATCATACAGCATCACTGACAGACAGTAGTACCTATGTTCCGGAGGACTGTGTAAGTTGTCTCCATGCCAGCATGGATGTGGTCAGACACATGACAGTGTAGCAGCCATGTCCCTGGGTGATCTGCAAACAGTTCGATGGTTTGGAATGTTCCAGGAAAGAGGTCATACACATCTTCTCGGTAAGACTTATCTATCTACAGAAAACAAAAAACACAGTCTGGGACTTTCTTTATTCAGTCACAGAAAGAATAAAAAGTGGAGCAAAATGAACCCACAGTATGCAGAAAAGAGAGTCCCTAGGTGGTACAAATGGTTAATGTGCTCAGCTGCTAAACAAAAGGTTGGAAGTTTGAGTCCATCCAGAGGTTCCTCAAAAGAAAGGGCTAGCAATCTAATTCTGAAAAATCTGCCACTGAAAGCCCTGTGAAGTACAATTCTACTCTGACACACTTGGATTTGCCATGAGTTGAAATTGGCTCAATGGCAACTGGTTATTTAAACAGAAGGAAAGAATTGATAAAGAGCAGAAGTCAATGCAATTGAGAATGTTGTTGCTATTTTTGTTATGTGCCGTCGAGTTGCACCTGACTCATAGCGACCCCTCCTTGGGTTTCTGAGGCAGTATCACTATGGAAGTAGATTGCCCAACCTTCTTTCCGAGGAGTGGCTGGTGGGTTTGAACCACCAGCCTTCTGGTTAGCAGTCAAGTGCCTTAGGCACTACGCTACCAGAGCTCCCACACTTGAGAATAGAAACATAATAGGAATAAGTCAATGAAGCCAAAAGTTGCTTCTTTGAACAGCTCTACAAAATCCCTAAGCCTTATGATAACTAGTCTCCATGGTCACCCCTCCACAATCCCTGCCTCTTGGTATTCAAAACCTTTGTAGTCCCTTGGGAGTGGTCTGTATGGCCAATAGCATAGGGCAGAAGTGGTAGCATGCTACTTCCAAGATTATGTTATAAAAAACCATGGCTTCTGTCTCAGGCCCTCTGTCTCACTCTCTCTACTTGGGTTCACTTACTCTGGGATGGACAGCTTTCATGTTCTCATGTTGTAACCACATGGCAAGCACTGAAGCCTCTAGTCAAAAGCCATGTGAGTGAGCTTGGAAGTGAACCTCCAGCCCAGTTAAATCTCTGCTGGGTCCAGCTGCAGCTGATACCTTCATTACAGCCTCGTGAGAGATGCTGAGCCAGAACCATGCAGCTACACTACATTCCTGACCCAGGGAAAGTGTGAGATAATAAATGCTGAGTGTTGTAGTTCACAACATTTTAAAATTTTTTTAATGTTGTTGTTAACTGCCATCAAGGTGGCTCAGACTCACAGCGACTCCATGAACAATAGAGTGAAACACTGCCTGGTCCTGTGCCAGCCTCACAATGCTTGCCACACCTGAGCCCATCGTCACAGCCACTGTGTCAATCCATCTTGTTGAGAGCCTTCCCCTTTTTTGTTGATCCTCCACTTTACTAAGCATGATATCCTTCTCCAAGGAATGGTCCTTTCTGACAACATGACCAAAGTATGTGAGATGAGGTCTGATCATTCCCACTTCCAAGGAGCATTCCAGCTGTACTTCTTCCAGGATAGATTTGTTAGTTCTTCTGGAAGTCCATAGTACTTTTGGTATTCTTCACCAACACCACAACTCAAAAGCATCAACTCTTCTTCTGTCTTCCTTGTTCATTGTCCAGCTCTCACATGCATATAAGGTGACTGAAAACACCATGGCTTGGGTTAGGCACACCTTAGTCTTCAAAGAGACATCTTTGCTCTTTAGCACTTTAGAGAGGTCTTTGGCATCAGATTTTCCCAGTGCAATACGTTGTCTGATATCTTGACTCCTGCTTGTATGAGTGTTGATTGTGGAACCAAGTAATATGAAATCTTTAACAACTTCAATCTTTTCTCCATTTATTGTGATATTGCTTATTGGTCCAGTTGTGAACATTTTTGTTTTCTTTAAGTTGAGATGTAATCCATACTGCAGACTGTAGTCTTTAATTTTTATCAGTAAATGCTTCAAGTCATCCTGATTTTCAGAAAGCAAAGTTGTGTTGTCTGCATATCATAGGTTGTTAATGAGTCTTCCACCAAACCCAATGCCTCAGTGTTCTTAATTAGTCCGGCCTCTCTGATTATTTGTCCTGCATGCAGATTGAATAAGTATGGTGAAAGGATATAACCCTCATTCACTCCCTTCCTGATTTTAAACCATGCAGTACCCCCTTGTTCTGTTCAAATGACAGCCTCCTGGTTATGTTCAGGTTCCTGATGAGCACAGTCAAGTATTCTGAAATTCCTATTCTTCTCAATATTATCCATAATTTGTTATGATCCACACAATCAAGTGCTTTTGCATTGTCAATAAAACACAAGTAAACATCTTCCTGATATTCTTTGCTTTGAGCCAAGATCCATCTGACATCAGCAATGATATCTCTCGTTCCATGTCCTCTTCTGAATCCAGCTTGCATTTCTGGAAGTTCTCTGTTAATATACTGCTGCAACCATTTTTGAATTATCTTCAGCAAGATTTTACTTGCATGTGACATTAATTATATCGTTCAATAATTTCCACATTCTGTGGGATTACCTCTCTTTGGAATAGGTACAGATGTGGATTTTTTTCCAGTCAGTTGGCCAGGTAGCTGTCTTCCAAATCTCTTGGCATAGACTAGTGAGTGCCTCCAGTGCAGCATCTGTTTGTTGAAACATCTCAATGGGTATTCCATCAATTTCCTGGAGGCTTGTTCTTCACCAATTCCTTCAGTGCAGTTTCATCTTCTTCCTTCAGTACCATTGGTTCTTGATCGGATGCCACCTCCTGAGGTGGATGAACATTGACCAATTCATTTTGGTACAGTGACTGTGTATATTATGTCTATCTTCTTTTAATGTTTCCTGAATCATTCAATATTTTGCCCATAGAATCTTTCAATATTGCAACTCGAGGCTTGAATTTTTTCCTCTGTTCTTTTAGCTTTAGAAATGCCGAGCATGTTCTTCCCTTTTAGTTTTCTAACTCCAGGTCTTTGCACATTTCATTATAATAATTGACTTTTTCTTCTTCAGCAGCTCTTTGAAATCTTCGGTTCAGATCTTTTATCTTGTCATTTCTTCCATTTGCTTTAGCTACTGGCCATTTGAGGGCAAGTTTCAGAGTCTCTTCTGACATCCATTTTGGTATTTTCTTCCTTTCCTGTCTTTTTAATGACCTTTTGCTTTTTTCATGGATGATGTTCTTGATGTCATCCCACAAATCCTCTGTTTTTCAGTCATTGGTGTACAGTGCATCAAATCTATTCTTTAGATGGTCTCTAAATTCAGGAGGGATATAATCAAGGTCATATTTTGGCTCTTGTGGACTTGTTTTTTAATTGCCTTCAGCTTCAGGTTGAACTTGCATATGAGTAGTTGATGGTCTGTTTCACAGTCAGCTCCTGGCCTCATTTTGGCCAAAGATATTGAACTTCTCCATTGTCTCTTTCCACAGATGTGGTCGATGTGATTCCTGTGTACTCCATCTGTTAAAGTCCAGTGTATAGCCACCGTTTGTGTTGTTGAAAAAAGGTATTTGCAATGAATAAGTCGTTGGTCTTACAAAATTCTGTCATGAGATCTCCAGTGTTATTTCTATCACCAAGGCCATATTTTGTTTCCAACTTCTGTATTCCAATCACCAGTGATAATCAACACATCTTGATTGCATGTTTGGTCAATTTCAGACTGTAGAAGTTGGTAAAAATCATCAATTTCCTCATCTTTAGCTTTAGTGGTTTGTTCATAAATTTGAATAATAGTAGTATTAATTGGTCTTCCTTGTAGGGATATGGATATTATCCTATCACCGACAGCATTGTACTTCAGGATAGACCTTGAAACTCTTTGTAATGATGAATGCCGCTCGATTCCTCTTCAATTTGTCATTCCTGGCATAGTAGATCATATGGTTGTCTGATTCAAAGGCCAAAACCAGTCCATTTCAGCTCACTAATGTCTAGAATATTGATTGTTATGCATCCCATTTCATTTTTGACAGCTTCCAATTTTCCTAGATTCATACTTTGTACATTCCATGTTCCAAATATTAATGGATGTTTGCAGCTGTTTCTTCCCATTTTGAGTCATGCCACATCAGCAAATGGAGGTCTCAAAAGCTTTACTCCATCCACATCATTAAGGTCTGCTCTACTTTGAGGAGGCAGCTCTTCCCCAGTCGTATTTTGAGTGCCTTCTGACCTGAGGGCCTCATCTTCCAGCTCTATATCAGACAATGTTTCAGGGATATTCGTAAAGTTTTCCAGTACTATATCAGACAGTGTTTCACTGCTATTCATAAGGTTTTCACTGGCCAATTCTTTGAGAAGTGGATGGCCCCTTCTTTCTGAGTCTGTCTTAGTTTGAAGCTCTGGTGAAACCTGTCTACCATGGATGACCTTGCTGGTATTTAAAATACTGGTGGCATAGCCTCCAGCCTCACAGCAACACACAAGCCACCACAGTACAACAAACTGACAGACAAGTGGTGGAAATTTTTTAATATACTTTTAAAAATATAGCTTAAAAAATTATGAAAAAGCAGTATAGCTGTTTACAACTTGATACTGTAACCATCATAGACTAGTACTTGCTGTCCTGAACTGATGTTGAATAAATATATAGAACCAAAATCAAACCAACCTCACTGCCATCAAGTTGGTTCTGATTCATAGCAACACCCACTGGGTTTTGAAGGATGTAAATCTTTATAGAAATAGTTTGCTTCATCTTCCTTCTGCAGAGCAGCTGGTGGGTTTGAACCACCAACCTTCTGGTTAGCAGCCAAATACTTTACCCACTATGCCAGTAGAGCTCCTAACAAATATATAGAGGGAAGAGGCTATTAGAGGTTTTATGAAAGTTGCTTTGTATTCCTTTATAGTTATAAAAGGATCAATGTAGGTTTTTCCCATGGATTAGGTATGATTATTCTTTTCTATTCTACTTTGTAGATAGCACTGACAACTTGAGAAGACAAATCGTCTGAACTTTACCTCTGGAGATTCTGATCCAGCAGGTCTGGGGTGGGGCCGGCCAATCTGTTTCTTAAATAGTTCCCTTGGTGATTCTGCTAAACAGCCAGCACCACCTGTATGGTTCAGCTTGATGCTATAGAAACAGAAGATCACACACGGTCCAGCCCAGATTACTAGGACAAAGGTGAAGATAAAAGTTTGGAAGTCCAAGCCAGAGCTAGAAATATCTCCTTTACTGGACAAGGCTATTCTGTGAGCTAATCACACAGGAAAGGGAGGTGAAAAAAAAACCCAGGAAAGATCAGGAAAAGGAACAAATACTATGGGTGCTTTTAGGAAGCACTGAGTTTCTGTTTTGTTGTTGTTGTTGTTTATGTGCCATTGAGTCAGACCTGACACATAGCGACCCCTCCTTGGGTTTCCCAGGCAGTATCACTACGGAAGTAGATTGTCCCATCTTCCTTCTGAGGAGTGGCTGGTGGGTTTGAACCGCCAGCCTTCTGCTTAGCAGTCAAGTGAGTTTCTGTTTAGAGTGACAGAAACTCTGGCTATGAATACTGGTGATGGTTGCATATGACTGATGTAATTATCACTAATTTATACATGTGAAAAATGTTGAACTTGCAAATGTGTTATCTATATTTTTACAATAAACAAACAAAAGCCCCAAATACTATGGATGCTTTCATGTACAATGTTAATAACATAATCCAGGGTTGTCAGGATCATCTCCATATAACTGACATGAAAACTCTCACCTGCAAATTAGAGAGTTTTTATAAGCACAATAAAATGCATATACATATTAAGAAATATCTACCATGGGAAGGATGTAATTATATCTTTCTGTTCCATTCTCTAATATGAACTACCACTCCTCTCACACAAGCATTATGGCCAAGTAACCCTCTTATTTCACAGTGAAATTATGTTGAACTGAGAGGTTAAAAAAACTTACTGCAAACTTTTCTTTATAAGCCCAACCCACTGCTATCAAGTCGATAGGACAGAATAGAACTGCCCCATAGGGTTTCCAAGGCTCTAAATCTTTACGGAAGCAGACTGCCTCATCTTTTTCCCACAGAGTGGCTGCTGGTTCTAACTGCCAACATTTTGGTTAGCATCTGAATACTTTAAACATTACACCACCAAAAATCAAAACAAAACTCAGTTTTCATCTTTCTTGTGGAAAGTGGTTGGTGGGTTTGAACCACTGACCTTTTGGTTAGCAGCCAAATGCCTTAACCATGACACCACCAGAGCTCCTTAATTTTCCGTATACTTACTTTGAAAAGAAAGCTTTCAGCATGATAGTGGATGGTGTGTATATCCACTTCACTTCCAAGTCCTAACAAATACCAGTTTGTCATAGTATTTTCATTCATTATGAGCCCATGGAGATTCCCAAAGATCTTCCCATTAATAGCTAGGAAGGTTTGGAAAAAAAAAAAAAAAACCTTTGATTAGTGAGGAGACATTCATTACTTAATCTGGTCTTAGAAATGATTCAAGAAGATCTTTAGGTTACCAATGTTTTCATCAGCCTGATAAACAAGTAACAATCTCACTCATATTTACAATGCCCACATCATTTTGAGCCCCAAATCAGATTATTATGCAATACTAAGAAATCCTCATACAAAGAGAGTGAAAAAAGAGATATGGCAGTTTATTCTTTAAACTATATCTAGATTGGCTGTCTTTTCTCTTTATGGATTACAGACTTATTTATGAGGTAGCTAGATTATCCCATTCTAAAGAGACTGAAGCACAAAACAAGTTTCTATAAATTAAAACTGAACAGCTTAGAAGCAATTTTCTTAGTATCTCACTTTCTGAGTACTAGCCTGGAGCAAAAGGAGCTGTGGGAGCACAATGGTTAAGCATACAGCTGCTAACCAAAAAGTTGTGGTTCAAACCCACCAGTGGCTCCATGGGAGAAAAGGCCTGGCAATCTGTTCCCCTAGAGATTACCAAAATACCAAACTCACTGCCATCAACTCAAACCTGACTCATAGTAACCCCTCCTTGGGTTTCCGAGGTGGTGTCACTGTGGAAGTAGATTGCTCAGTCTTCCTTCTGAGGAGTGGCTAGTGGGTTTGAACTGCCAGCCTTCTGGTTGGCATTCAAATGCCTTAGGAAATCATATAGGGCAGTTCTACTCTGTCCTGAATGGTCACTATGAGTTGGAATCAACTTAAAGGTACACAACAAGAAGTTTGGAACAAGTTCCTGAGCCTGAATGAATCTTCAAAAGAAGAGAAGCTTCACCTGCGCTGAGCCCATGAACCTAACAAGGCCCAAGAACCAAAGCAAAGCTGAGTTTATGTGGTGGCAACTCTCAGCCTTCCTCTTTCTACTTACATTTCTGTTCATCATGATACCACCAAATAATACATCACCTCAAGGGTAATGTTCATTGAATATAGAGCATACGAAACTTTTGGGAGGAGCTCTAGTAGTGCAATCCCTAAAGCATGTGACTGCTAACGAGAAGGCTGGTGGTTCATACCCACCAGCCACTCCTCGGAAGGAAGGTTGGGCAATCTACTTCCGTAGTGATACTGCCTCAGAAACCCAAGGAGGGGTCTCTATGAGTTGGGCCTAACTCATGGGACATAACAACACCACCACCAACAATAAACTTTTGGGAGAGGGAAGCAAAATTGGTAGGGGAAAAAGTAGTTGAATTGGAAATCAGGCTACTATATTCTAGTCTAGACATTTAACTAGCTTTGTGACCTTGGGCAAGGCCTATCTTCTTGTACACTCTTGGTCAAAAAGAGATCGTGGTGAGAGAGTATGGATGTGACAATTTGAACATATTATTTACATAGGAAGAAAAAATATACCAAGTTAAATATTAAAACAGAAATTTGATGATGTTATTTCATATCTTAGAGATAATTAAACCAGGCCCTTAAATTTTAACAGAAGGTACGGTCTATTCTTATAGAAATACACTAATAAGTGATGATTCATTTTTTAAAAATCACTTCACAGTCTTATAGTTTAGAAACTCCAGCATACACGGATTTTTGTTGTGTGCCTTTGTACCATTGAGTCAATTCCAACTCATAGCAACTCTGTAGGACAGAGTATAACTGCCCTATAGGGTTTCCAAGGCTGTATATGTTTATGGAATCAGATTGTTTTCATCTTTCTCCTGAAGAATGGCTGGTAGGTTTAAACTACCAAATTTTTGGTTAGCAGCCAAATACTTTAACCACTGCACCACCAAATTTCCTTCCTTTCAGAGACAAAGATCCCTAAACAGTTGGACCAAACCTCAGCAATTTCACTGCCAACCATCCATTGGCTAGGCTGGCTCACTCTGAAGGAGAACTTTCTTCTGTCCAAACACCCCTGGATATGAGGAAAGGATTAGGGAAGGAGCCTGCAGCCCTCCTACAATTCTACAATTTGTATGAGCTTGTCCTAACAATGATCTTTTTATAAACTCCTGATATACCATGCATTCTGTTGCTTTCCTCAAAATCATCAGTGTGCTTAAAATTTTGTGGATCTTTATTGAGATATTTCTTGATATTGTCATCCAGATACCAGGATTCATTCTCATTAAATACCAAAAACAAGAGAGCAAATTCATAATCAACATCGCTTCTTCTTCCCTTTTCATTCAACACTCCTTCTCTGCATGTAATCAGAGGACCCATCAAACCACTATATGTATCCTGAAAGAAAAAGAAATCAACTTAGAAGAGCCTTTAAATAATTCAGTAATACAGATCAAATGCTTGTAAGATGGTCACTGTAAAGATTACTGGGCATGAAAATAGGTACAGAGAAACCCTGAAGAACCAAGGAAATTTTAGGAGAGTACCTAAAAATTTACTACAGGGTGATACCCTGAGGGCTGAGATTGTATCCTTCATTTAGCACTGAGTCTCCAGAGCCTTGCACCATGTTTAGCACATAGAGGGTCCTCAGTCAATCCTTGTTGAATAAATGAATGTGTGTTTCTATTTTTTCTGTTTGTTTTTCAAATAAGACTATATTTATAGCTTTATTCAGATGTTTCTACTCCACTTTCTGTGGGTAAAAGTGGATGGTGGTTAGTAAATGATATGGGACCATGAATGCTCTCCAGATCAAGTTGTTTAGCCCCAGACTCTCTTTTGCAGGGAAACATCCACATGTTCAGCTGCTTACTTAGACCATCTACCTGGTTGTGCTTCCTGCAGCAATGCAATCTACTGAGCATGTCTAGAAGGGAATTTAGCACTTCCTTCAAGCCATTTCTTCCTGAAATCTCAATTTCTTTTAATAACACTGTAATATTCCCTGTTATTTGGGCCAAAAAAATTGATTTTAATGTTTAATTCCTCCTTCTTTCTACCTCTTCCATCCAGTTTTCTGTTAAATCTTCCTCCCATTCCCTCCCTCCTCTTCATAATGCCTCTCCATTTTTAGTCTTACTTTCCATCTCTCTGTCACTATTCTAGTTCAGGATCTTAATGCCTTACTCTGGACTAGAAATTGATTCCTCACTGATCTCTGGCTAATCCCACCTCCAGCCCAACTGGCTCAGCACTGTCAGATTGATCTCATCACTCCCATATCTAGAAGTCTCCAGTGATTTTCACTGCCTACAGAATAAAGTAGAAACCTTTCAGGAGTCCTTAAATACCTCCACATATATCTCAAGGAACTTTTCTAGCTCACATTACCCCACTGCTCTTGTTTCGTAACCTATATGACAGCCAAAGGAGCTCTGGTAGCGTAGTGCCTAAGGCACTTGACTGCTAACCAGAAGGCTGGCGGTTCAAACCCACCAGCCACTCCTCGAAAGGAAAGTTGGGCAATCCTACTTCTGTAGTGATACCACCTCGGAAACCCAAGGAAGGGGTTGTTATGAGTCGGGGCTGACTCAATGGCACATAACAACAACAACATGACAGCCAAATGGATTTTTAAAATTTCCCAAATACAATTTATACTTTCCTGTCTTCCACTTTAAACATAATGTTCTCTCTTCTTAGACTCTCTTTCCAATGCCTCCTGTAGTATCTTAGCCCACCACACCCACGGTACTCAACCAGATTCAAGTTGTATTATAGTTATGAATTTGGACATGTATTATTTTCCCCAAAAGTTATAAATTCCTTTAAGACAAGAATATCTGCATCCTCACAGTACTTGACTGTGTCATTTGCACACAACAAGTGCAATAAATATTTGTTGGGGTGAATGAATGAATAAACAAAATTGAACATGGATTTCCAACAATTACAGTATGTAAAGTTTTTAAAGTTTATTTCTTCAAGTGTCTTGTATGTCTAATTCCTGAATTCTAGCACTATCCAGTACAACTCAAGGACATTAATGAAGCTATATATTATATTTTAAAAAAAGGTTAAGATAATACTTCACTTTTTTTATATATAATGGGAAATGTTTACCTTTTATATCAGATAAGACTTTAGTTTAGACTTTGATTTATGAAGTATAATTAAAGACTGTTGTTATTTTACATAAACATTTCTAACTCAAATTCAATTTTGAATCTTTGCCTTTTATTTCTAAGTGAAGTTATCCTATTTAATACTCAGATAGCATCATAGCTTCAGTCACTATAGGTAGAGAGTGCTTTCTTTCCCTGAGCCCTCATAGCAGTGTTAATATCTTTAAAATTAATATATTTTACATATCCAAAATCATGGTATAAATTGTATTCGAAGATATTTTTATTTTGTTATCCATATACATGTCTTCTTGCTTCAAATTACTTTGTAAGTTCTAAATTTGGTGATTGAAACTGTGGGGTTTTATTTCTTCCCCCCCTTGTTCTGGTTACCTAGTGCCGTTCTGACAGGAATATATCACAAATGGGATCGCCTTAACAAACAGGCATTTACTCTCTTACAGTTTGGAGGCTTCAGGTCCAATTTCAAAGGGACCTAAAAAGGTTGAGGGGTGTAAGCCCCTCAACCTTGGGGTCCAGCTCTGCCTCCTGCTCCCGGCCCACTGGAGCTAGAGGCATTTCTTCACTCAGACAGCTGCAGGCTGCTGAGGCTGAGAAGCCCCAAGGTTGACAAGTAAAAAAGGCACAGTCCTGATGTTACCAAACCACATGGCAGGCCATTAACTTAAGTCCATTGTAAGTCCCAAGGTCAGCAGAGCATAGCAGGCTGCTGAGCAATGACAAGGCTACATGCAGGGTCCAAGCGTGCCACAGGCTAGAGACCATTCTCAAAGCTTCTTCTTATATACAGGAAGCGGACAGCTACTCAGCTGCTTACAGTAGATTCCACCATGGAGTTGATTACCAGTCTCATCATGGGGAATACTACATACAGCTGCCCAGCCACTCAACCAGACCTAGCCAAGTTGACACACAGACATAACCACCACACCCCTATACTTTAAATCAAGGGTCAGCAAACTTTTTCTGTAAAGGGCCACCTAGTAAATATTTTCAACTTTACAACCACTCAACTCAACCATAGGCAATGTAAATGAGTGGGTGTGACTGGATTTGGCTGGTTTAAAATCGTTGCACCTTTCATATGTACCAACCTGAGTTATAAGGAGTTGAATAGTCAACTTAAAGCCATATTACTTTAAGAATTCGGATTGTTCTTCTCACCTTACCTTCACAAAGTTAACTGTTGAATAGTAAACCCACGGAATACAATTTGGGTCAGAAGGCCCAGGGCCTGATCTTTTAGGGATATTCCATTGGTAAGTTTTCACTTCTCCTGAAATAAATGAGAGGAAATAGAAAGAATTTACAAGTGTTCCCTCTGTTTCAGATGATTTACCTGGAAAAGTACGTATTGATTTTTATATACTCTGGTCAATGTTTACTGCTAGTGAGAATTACCCATTCATTAGAAATACTCCCATCAAACACACATCTTGATTTTAAACAGCTTCAAAATGGCACTTTTCAATTGCAGACTTCATTTTTCCCTCTGTTGTTGTTAGGTGCCGTCAAGTTGATCTTCACTCATGACAACTCCATGTGACAGAGTAGATTTGCCCCATCGCACAGGGGTTTCTAGGCTATAATCTCTACAGGAGCAGATGGCCAGGTCTTTCTCCTGCAGTTTGCTCTTTTCTATTATCAACTAATGTATATTTAAGAAATGAGGCCTTATTTTATATCTCAGTGTTTTCTTCTCAAATTTCATTTCTCCCTCTCCAGAGCTATCCTTGAAGCACTCGGGTTTTAATCACCATGGTTCTTAACTTTGGCTTCTTATTGGAATCACTGGGGAAGCTTTGTAAACCCTCATTGTTCAGGTCTCACCCTAGAATCAGAGAAGAGCAAAGAGACCTAGTTCCAAATCTCAGCCCTACTACTTCCTAATTATCCAACATTTGACTTTCAGTTTTCTAACTTGTAAAATGGGTTAGTCATCCTAAGATGAAATGAAAAAATGAAATTAAAGTACCTGGGGCAATGCCTCACATAGAAGGCAGTTAATAAAAATTATAATATATACTAGTAACAAATGTATGGGCTCCCGCACGGGCCAACGCTGTATATATGCATCCCCTTCGGCTGCCCCAGAGCATTGCACAGAATCAACATATCCACACAAATTAGCAAGATAACCACCCTGTAAAACTCCCAAATAAAAACCACATTTAAATAATTATCTCATTTTAGACTACCTGTCTCATTCTCATGCCATCAGGACAAACAACCTATAGGTGACTATGTGAGCCACAAAGCAAAATAGCTTTGCTGCATTTTTGTTACATTATTAGCGAGTTAGTGATATAACTTTAGCTCTATTTCCATTAAGTTGCATTAAATCCCCTGTGTTTTGGTAATCAAACGATAAACCAGTGATATTTAACTCCTTAAATGCAACGGCCCACAGGGGTAGCGTTTTTGATGATGAGCAATCCGTTGTTCACCCCAGCAGCAAATGCGACTTGGAATGTAAAGAAGATACTCAGTAAATGTTTGCTGAGTGATTTAGTATAAAAAAGAAGAAGAAAAGGACAATTGATAGGGGGCAGTTGTGACACAGGTTTGCTCTCCTTTTACACATGCCCAGATAATCTTTCTTCTCCAACTTGTTTAGACTTCTTCCTAACTAAAGTCAGTTTCTTGCTTCTACCTGTGATCTTCAGGCACTTCCAAATGTTGCAGCCTTGTCAAGGACTTCTGACAAGGAGTTCTAGTAAGAAAAAAAGATTCTCCTTAGCCACATCCTAGTCCATTCAAATTCTTCCCCTCCTGCATGGTCCCCCAATCAAGGGAGAAGACCAGTCAACACTGAGGTGCTGTGTCCTTTGCCAACAATCTGTACCATCAGGGCACAGCAGCCTGTGAGTGGAGTCACCCCAGCTTGCCCACAGCCCTACTAGAGCCCCAACAATCCCTGACTGCCATCCTTCTTCCTCCTCAGGAGTTGATTTTCAACCATCAAAAATTAACTTTACTTAATGGCTTTTTCTCTCTTTGGTCCAGTTTTTAAAAACCATTTTCTCCATCAAAGCAAGACACAGCCATTATAGAAAATCTAGAATGTATGATAAACATTCATACCGGGTCTCCGGGAGCAAGGTAAGCACGGGTGTAGCACAGAGTAGCAGGCCGGAAGAGCAGGAGAAAGGGGTAAAACCCAGTCACTAGTGCTCAGACGGCTCCCTTGTTACCCTCCCGAGAGGGACCGGGTCTCCGGGAGCAAGGTAAGCACGGGCGTAGCACAAAGTAGCAGGCTGGAAGAGCAGGAGAAAGGGGTAA